CAGAAAACTGGTAATAGTTTTCAGTGGGAGGTATTAAAAAAAGAACAGCTGGCTCTCACGGCTCGACTGCCTTCCAAGTTCCCGCACTAATGGCGGCACTAATTGCAGCACCAGTGGCCGCCTGGCACCAGCCGGGTGTTATCATCTCTGCAGACTCTCCGGCAGGAGAGCTCCCTTCACAGCTACGCTAGCTGCAAACCACGATCGTCCACCCTGAGATCAGCCACCACCACACCCATTTCCCGGTAAAATCAAAACTCTTAATGGTTATAGTTAACCAATCAGATTTATATATCGACAAATACTCAAATCCCAAGATGCCCACACAATAATTTCAAAGCCAATTGATAAACGTAAGATGCCAACACATATTAGACAATTTATCCCAATTATCCTAACCTTTTCATATTATCTCTGCGTATGGCTAATTAAAGCCATGCTGGTTTTACTTCTGTTTCCATATTCGCTCCCTCTGTGTTCCTCTCGGCGTCCCTCTCTCTGCCTCCCTTTTCCTTGTCCAGTCACAGGCCTCCCACTGAAAATAGACGGGACAGGAAAATTTCTGCCACAATAGTTCTACCTCAAGATTCAGCTATACTACTCCTGGGGATGTACTCAAAAGATGCGCAACCATTCCACAAATACATTTGCTAAACTATGTTCATAGTCGATTTTATTTATAATAATCAGAAACTGGAAACAACCTAGATGTCCCTCAGCTGAAGGATGGATAAAGAAAATGTGGTACATCTACACAATGGGATACTGTTCAGCAATTAAAAACAAGACACCAGGAATTTTGCAGGCAAATGGATGGAACTTGAGAATATCATCCTGAATGAGGTAACACAGACCCAGAAGGGCATACATGGTATGTTCTTACTTATAAGTGGATTTTAGCCATAAAATACAGGATAGCCACTCTACATCCCACAGACCCAAAGAAGCTAAATAAGAAGGAAATCTCAAGACAGGATACTTGATTCTTACTTAGAAGGGGGAATAAAATAGACCACAAGACCTTTCAGTAGTTCCTAAGACTTCCCAGTCGTACTGTAGTGGAGATCAAGCTTTTACCACAGCCCTGATCATCACTTCTGCCTGAGAAGGTCTCAGTAAAAAAAATTTACTAAATAAAAATGGATACTTCTTACTTTTGCCAATTACCATATTTAAGTTGCTTGTGCCTCATAGGCTCACAAGTTTAACAAAAGTTGCAAACCATGTGCCTTGTGTATATAATCATTTGTTTTATTACAGGTGGGAAATACCCTAATACATGCCTGCTCTGCAGTAGTTAATACTAACAGCCAAGCCTAACATTCCACCTTCGTACCAGATGGGGGCACTCCAGTTTTCTCCCAAATTTTACCTCAGAAGCGAGAGACAGAAAAGGGTGAGGATGGTTTATTAGGAACATGATCAAAATATATTATTTACATTTATGAAAATATATAAGGAAACCAATTATATATAATTAATATATGCATATATATATATATATATTTTAGACTTATACTATACAAACTCAACTATTTCAACAGGAATGTTTTTAGTCTGTTGAGCATCCTAGGCTATCCTCAACTTTGTGCTCCTTCAGACTCGTCTTCTAACTGCTGGAATTACAGCGAATGTGCCACCACCTTGGGCTTTGGCTTTAGCAGTTAAAAAAAAAATACTCTAAGGGCTTTTGATGAGTGAGCAGAAGTAGAAACTACCACTGAGGCACTGGGCAATTACGGACAGGTTTTATGGGAGCAAAACAGCAGATAATGTGTTTCTAATTTAGTGTATAATTCCCCAGAGAGTTAAATAAACTAATGTAAATAGTGAGTGTCCCAAAGGTTTGAGAAGCCATGCAGTTAACTCACTCTACTGTCCTGTGCTGAGCCCGGGCACATTCTCTTCATTCGTTTGCTTCTCATGTTTCTCTCGCTAGCATTTGTGCTTTCCAGATGCCACCAATCTCCCTGAACTATAGCTTGTGGGGGACTGCTGCATGGCCTCCTGCTCTAGCTGTTTCCTGTCTGTTGGGTCCCTGACATTGCAGAGGCCCTTATACCTTACTTACCAAACCCTCTGCACCAAAGAAGAGGGGTTGATCTTCATTGTCTTCCTTGGCCAACTGAGGCACTTCTAAAGGGCCCAGAACTCTGATGTGTAGGGCAGTCTTTTCCATAGCTGGCTTCTCTCTCCAGTGAGGTTTTCATTAACAATGACAGAATGATTGTGAACATGAGTTATAAGGACTCAGAGTGTTCTCAGTCATCCAAGGGCTCATGAGTCAAACCTTTCTGGTAAGACCTTGTAGACCAAGTGGAAAGAGTGTGACTCTAATGAGATATACTGAGAGCAGGAGGCCTGACTCTTTAGATACGACTACCCACACAAGCAAGATTCATACAGCGGAGTGGAACAGTGGTGACAGAAAAGGTAAGCAGTCCTAGTGAATTTTAGGCCCAGTTCTGCTCTGGATGAATGATCTTACACATGTGTAGCAGTTACTGTTTGCTAACCACAGATATGTATATCATATCATAGATTTTGAGATGTTGGGGATTAAACCCAGGGCTTTACACCTTCTGAGAGCCCTAGGACAACTGAATAGTTCCAGCATAGGTTTTTAATCAATGAACCAAATGAAGAAGCTGCTCTTTAGGGCAGGTTCTGGAACCTTATTCTACCACAAGATGGTAGTATAGTATCATTCTTTTGAAACTGATACCTAGTTCCTGGCCCTTGTTTTGAGCCTCAGGAAAATGTTTGCAGGACTCTTTAAATTGATTCTGTCTTCAATGAGCTCAAGCTCTGAGTGTTTTCCTTTTAATACAACAATCAGATTTCCTTCCCTCAAACTTTGAAGTGTTACAGGTACCCTCAGCACAGTCAATGAGGTGATCAAGAAATGAGAATTCGACAAAGTCTGCTTTTCTATTAACCTTCCCACCTTCTGTTTACAGTACTTTCAGGTTACCTTTATTGCAAAGCAAAAAGTATTCAGCAAGATTCCTCCCACAAGTGACTCTAACAAGTTTTGGGTTCCTGTTTGTTTTTAATCACATTAGATTATATTTACCTCAATCTTCAGGGAATATAGCAACCACTTTGCCTACCCTCAAATATTTGATAGGTCTTAACATTTTTTTTTCATGTAGTAAGTAGTCAAGGACACACCTACATGGGTTAAAAGTGGTATCTGGGCAATTACCCTGCTGTTGTTTGTCTAATGTACATGGGTTTTTCTTTCCTTTTCCTACCCATGCAATCAACTTTGAGTCTCATTTGGGTGTTGACAAGTTTTGATTTACATTTCAGTTTCTAAAGCTAAGAGCATTGTGGTTCAGTGCCAGTCCCGAACCAGTGAGTCTCTGATGATTACAGCAGCAGGCAGCTTTTTCACTGAAAGCCTTCAGAGTGGAAACAGTGCTTTTTTGATTCATACGTTTGTTTATTTAGCTGTATGCCATTACAGACATCTTGTAAAAGTTATCAAATATGACATTTTACAAAGATGCATGGAATACTAATGAGGTAAAAGCTTCAAAATAACAATCCCCCAAAGTTATTATAGTTAAAAATTGTTACCAAGAATGTCATAAACCAGCAACTTTTAGCTCTTTTCCACACATGTGATAAAACCCTGCTTCTAACTTTGACCTTATTACTGAGTACACAGAGTTCATGGCCAGTTTATACACACTCAGCATTCCACTCGTAGTGTGGGCTAGGTGGGAGTGCATGCATGTACCTAGGTCACAAACCAGTAATTATTTAATGAATAAAACTGCTAGCAAGCTGCCCAATTTTTGAAGGTAAAATGGGCATGACAACTAAAGCATGTATTTGTATTATATATCTAATTTTAAAATTTTAGTTAACATGAACAGTGACTCTGAAAGGGAATAGAAAAATTTTAAAAAATGCCTCTTCATGAAGATCTATAAAATAAGTAGCTTTCATCTTATTAATTCAGAGTTTAGTCACTAAAGGGAAAACCAAAGAAAAATAAACATCTAAGAAGGGCACCCAGGGTCCCTCCCCATCCACAATGCTGGACTCCAGTTATTAGCAGGGTAGTTGCCAGTTTCTTATTTTGATTGACAGTTTAATAAGGGACCTGGGGCTATCTTTTCAGTATGAACATACAACCTTACCAATTACTTTTAAATTATTGCTAATCTTCCAGACATTAAAAAGCCTAAGGTATAAAGATATCTGAAAAATATCTGCTGAAGAAGCATCTTCTACAAGTGGTTTAAAAGGTCCAGTTCAGAAAATTCGCTAGCATTTAGTCAATAGAATTTAGGCAGTGAGGATTATTTTTTTAAAAGAAAAACTTGTAGTTTATAATAGTTCATTGCTTCAATTAGGAGTGTAAAAGAAGGGAGTTTTGTAATGCAATTGTCCAGCAAAGGAAACCGCTTTAAATTGGGGGATTATGTGCAGAGACCACCTGTGGGGCATTCAGAGCCTTTTCTATAATGCACAGCCCAGGCCTAGCTGCCTGCGGGCTGGCTAACAAAGCCTTGGAAAGCTGTTGAAAAGGCTGAGCGCACTTGCGCCTCTGGTCTTCACTAACTGTTACAAGTCTTCCTCTCCCTCTCTGCCTCTCCTTTTTAAAGTAAAAGTCCCACATCCCTTTAATGGAAGAGCGTTAAGGCTCCACGGTGGCCAATTGGTCTGCACCAAGAGGAGCCAGGCAGCAGGGAAAGAAACTCCAGGCTATACAGCACATTCACAGAGGAGAAAAGATCAAAGTTTTCCAAACTCAAAAGACCAAGTTCCCTACAGATTAACCCTATTCATTTAGCTCCTCTTAAAGGAATGATGTGCAAAGCCACTGGGCAGACAGGTAAAAAGTTCAACAATTGCCAGCACATTCTTCTGCTGATTCAACAGCCTTCTGTTCAAATAAATTAGCTTAGTCTTGACAGAGGAACAATAGCTTTTTTTTCTCCAGGAAAAGCAGCACACTTGGAATACACAAGCAGGGAATGCTATTAAGAAGTTAACCCATTCGTTTAATCTGTTAGCCAGCACCTGCTCTGCTACACCAGATTGTCAAGTGACTTACAGTACAGAGGTGACCTGTGGCCTCAAATACTAACCTCCACATTTCTGAGTGTGGCCAAGTCTGTAAAAGGCCAGTGCTTTCAAAATCACAGACTGAAGATACTCACATAGGGTTGCTGTTTCAATTTAAGTGGCATTATACCAGCTAAATAAACAGGCCAAGTGGAATGGCCACCTTTGCAAACTGTCGATCCACACACACCATGAAGAGCTGTAACCCACAGGTCAGCAAAGAGAGACCATGAAAAACACCATTTTGGGGGAAAGTGCAAAAAGCGTGACTTTGATTTCAATTCAACAATGACATTTACTTTGCTAACAGTTTAAGAATTAGAAGTTAACAGGTAATTGTCTCCATGCCTAAAGTCAGTACAAAATGGCAAGCCAGAAAATGTCCATTTCCTCACGTGTCCTCAGCAAGCAGAAGGGGGACAATTCAGAAGAGGTGGGGGACAGGGTGGTACTTAAATCATTTATCAAAAGTCATTTTATTGACAAAATAGAATACTTATATTTGTTCTTACAGGGTAGTCTCTAAACTTTTTACAAATAATGTACACATTGTATATCTTTGGATATATACATATTTTACACTTTTTTTTACAACTTAACAAATAATTATATAAATACATCCTTTAATGTAAGAAACCCGTATTTACTTGGGGTGTATAATTAAGACATTTTTTTTGTTTATTTAAGGCATCTGCCTGGTCATTAAGAATACCCAAACTGTTCAGTCCCACAAGGTAGCAGTTGTCCCTCTTCTAGGGTATATAAGGGCTTGAATTTATGCTGACGTAGTTGAGGGTGAAGCAGTCCCTTGGGTGAAGTCTGTAGTGGTATTACCTCAAGACTCCTCCAGGGTATCCAGGAGGGTTCCAACTATCCTAGCCCACTGAAACCATTGTCTAGGGTAGGCGCTCCGTGGCATCGGAGGGGAGGGGCTAGGTCTGGGAGGCTTCAATGCCAGGTACTTTGTTCTAAGGGAGTCATTTAAGTCCCTGCGGCTAATGGATACCATTAAGAGTTCATTATCATGCTAATAGCAGTCAACACGGTGAAGGGGTGGGAACCCCAGCCGGTCTGGGGTCCCTTTGCCGCCCTCAGGTTCTCCATCCCCCACCCCTCTCCGCCCCTTCTGGGCGTCTGTTCAGGGTTCAGACCTGGGACAATGGCATTTGCTTAGGGTAAGATACAGAACTAGCCGTGCCAGACCGCCACGTCAGGCCGGTGCTGACGTCGCTGTAGAGGGATCCCCCGCCTCCGCCATGCCCTCCACCCCCGCCGGGCCCAGGGCCACCACCCCCAGGACCTGTGCCTCCAGCGCCGGCGCCTAAGGCAGCGCCCTTGCTGGCCCAGCAGCAGCGAGTGCATAACGCGCGCCAGGACTCCAGAGTCTTGCCGGACCAGACCCACACGCCCGATGTGATGCCCACCACTAGGCACATGAAGTACTTGAGCATGAAGACCGCATAATCGGGCCTGCGAGCCTGGTCTGGTTGCAGGTCCCGAAGGCAAGGGCAGTTGTGAGTGGCCTCCCAGCGCGGTCGGTTGTGCTGCTCATAGAAAAGGCAGGCGACAACGACGGCGGCGGGCACGGTGTAGAGCACGGTGAAGAGGCCCAAGCGGATCATGAGCTTTTCTAGCTTGTGTGTCTTAGTTGGGCCTCCTTGCTGCTTGATGACTGAACGGATTCGGAACAGCGACACGAAGCCAGCTAACAGAAACATAGTCCCAATGAAGAGGTAGATGACTAGTGGCGCCAGCACAAAGCCGCGTAGGTTGTCAAGGCTCTGGTTGCCCACGTAGCAGATGCCCGCCACCGGGTCGCCGTCCACGGAGCTGAGCGCCAGCACCGCGATGGACTTGACGCTGGGCACGAGCCACGCGGCCAGGTGGAAGTACTGCGAGTAGCCTGCTATGGCCTCGTTGCCCCACTTCATGCCAGCCGCCAAGAACCACGTGAGCGACAGGATTACCCACCAGATGGAGCTGGCCATGCCAAAAAAGTAGACAAGGAGGAAAACCACCGTGCACAGCGCGGGGCCAGTGGTCTCATAGCGCACGTGCTGCTCCACTGCGCCCAGCTCCTCGTACTCGCCGCGCGCCCCCGGGCTGCTCGCCCCCGCTCCCGCCGCCCCCGCGCCAGCTGCCGCC